GCAGCTATATTTATTATTATTATTATTATTCTTCCCGGTGGAAGTCTATGGCAGCCCTATGAACCGTAAGTAGGAAAATGATGAAATTTGGCACACTTATAGAGATCATCATGAAAAGTAATTAAGCCAAATTTTGAGTCTCTAGCCCCAACTCTATAGCGCCACCACCAGTTCAAAATTTCAACATTAAAATTGTTGTAACTTTTGAACCCTTTGGTCTAGAGACATGAAACATAGTACACTTGATTCCACTCATCATGCTGATCACAACAATGTCATACATTAAGACTCCGCCCCATTACAGTAGACGCCATTTTGAAAAGTACAGTATTCAGTTTTTTTGCTACTCCTCCTTCAAAATTTGTTCAATTTTGTCCAATATTTGGTCAAATAATATTTTAGACTTAGCCGCACAGAAATGACTGAACAGATTTTTTTTTTAGTTGTCTTTCTTCAAAAGTTATGGTGTCGCAAACTCAGTGAGGTCCACCCAAAATTGGCTAAGAGGCTGTATCTCGGCCAAAGTTTGATCAATCGAAACAGAAATCGATACACTTTATCAGAAGCATGTTCTGAGGTGTCATACCAAAGTTGGGAATAGCGCCACCTAGGGGTCATGAGATATGCAAAATTGCTATTTTGGCCAATAACTTTTGAACAGTTTTTCAGAAAATCATAAATGTGGTATCTATGGATTCCTTGGATCATGCCGAATCCGTGGATATCAATTTTGCCATGATGGGATGTACCTCGTGTCCGCCATTTTGAATTTTGTCATAATTTGCAATATCTTTAAAACTTTTTAAAATTTCTCCACCAAATTTGGTAATGGATCATCATTAGCATGGCCAAAGGTACATGAGAAGTTTGATGACAGCGCCACCTAGTGTTCCAAAGTTATAAGGTTTTTTGTAAAAACGCTTATAACTTTTGCAAATATAGTTCAAAATTTAATTTCTTTATATCAATATGTTCCTTGGCTTATACCGATTCTAACGATGTCTCATTTTTCATTTTCCAACAAAGTGACTGTCCGCCATATTGGAGCAAATGAAAACCATTTTTTCGCTACTCCTCCTTCAGATCTTGCTCAAATTTTTCCAAAATTTGGTCAGATGATCTTTGGACCGAGCCGCACAGAAATGACTGAACAGATTTTTGATATTCGTTACCGTTTTTGAGATATTCGTCTCCAAAATTGACCTAGCCTGTGTTTGTTGCCTTATGCTAGTTAGCTTAGCATAATAATTGTTTCAGCATGCTAACCAGGTGCCATTCTTTTTAATGGGGCTCTTCAGCTAACAGGATGACCATAAGCTATATTAGCATTGAGCTAGCTTAGCATGCTAATCACGTTAACATAATTTTGTGCGTTTATTCTTATACTGAAGCCTCTCCTCTGCAGTTTTGTAATTTATATCCTATGAGTGGCGCAAGCTGCTAAACCACGTGTCACGAATCCCGAACCATTGCGGTCGTGGGTTCGAATCCCGTGTGGCACATGCCCAGACCGCAAGAGGTACTGTGGCCTTAAGTGGTGGAAAAGTCGTTTCAGTTCTACACATGGTGTCTGTCTGAGAAAGAACATGTGCTTGTTGTACTTGTTCTGCTTGTGGTCCCTTTCAGGGCTTGGCCCCGCAAAGGCTGCTTGCAGCTTTAATTATTATTATTATTATTATTATTCTTCCGCCAATGGAAGTCTATGGCAGCCCTATGAACCGTAAGTAGGAAAATGTTGAAATTTGGCACACTTGTAGTGATGGTAATTATTAGTAATTGGTCCAATTTTTGACCCTCTAGGACCAACTCTATAGCGCCACCACCAGTTCAAAAATTCAACATTGAAATGGTTATAACTTTTGAACCCTTTGCTCTAGAGACATGAAACTTAGTACACCTGATTCCTCTCATCATGCTGATCACAACCAATACCTTACATTAAGACCCCGCCCATTACAGTAGAGGCCATTTTGAAATGTACAGTATTCAGTTTTTTCCCTACTCCTCCTTCAAATTTTGTCCAATTCTGTCCAAAATTTGCTCAAATGATCTTCGGACTGAGCCGCACAGAAATGACTGAACAGATTTTTTTTTATTCATCTTTGTTCAAAAGTTATGGTGTCGCAAACTTAACGAGGTCCACCCAAAATTGCCTAAGAGGCTGTATCTCGGCCAAAATTGAATCAATCGAAACGAAAATTGGTACGCTTCATCGGAAGCATGTTCTGAGGTTCCATACCAAAGTTGGGAATAGCGCCACCTACGGGTCATGAGATATGAAAAATTGCTATTTTGGCCAATAACTTTTGAACAGTTTTTCAGAAAATCATAAATGTGGTATCTATGGATTCTTTGGATCATGCCGAATCCGTGGATATCGATTTTGCCATGATGGGCTATACCTCGTGTCCGCCATTTTGAATTTTGTCATAATTTGCAATATCTTTAAACCTCTTTGAAATTTCTTGACCAAATTGGGCATGGATCATCATTAGCATGCCCTGAAGGTACATGAGAAGTTTTATCACAGCGCCACCTAGTGTTTCCAAGTTATAAGGTTTTTTTGTAAAGATGCTTATAACTTTTGCAAATATTGTTCAAAATGTAATTTCTTCATATCAATATGTTCCTTGGCTTATAACGATTCCACCGATGTCTCATTTTTCATTTTCCAACAATGTGACTGTCCGCCATATTGGAGCAAATGAAAAACCATTTTTTCGCTACTCCTCCTGCAAATCTTGCTCGAATTTGTTTAAAATTTTGTCAGATAATCTTTGGACCGAGCCGCACAGAAATGACTGAACAGATTTTTGATATTCGCTATCGTTTCAGAGATATTTGCCTCCAAAGTTGACCTAGCCTGTGTTTGTTGACTTATGCTAGTTAGCTTAGCATAATAATTGTTTAGCATGCTAACCAGGTGCAATTCTTTTGAATGCGGCTCTTCAGCTATCAGGATGACCATTAGCTACGTTAGCATTGAGCTAGCTTAGCATGCTAATTGCGTTAACATGATTTTGTGTGCTTATTCTTATACTGAAGGATCTCCTCTGCAGCTCAGTTATTTGCGTCTTCTGTGTGGCGCAAGCTGCTAAACCACGTGTCACGAATCCCGAACCATTGCGGTCGTGGGTTCGAATCCTGTGTGGCACATGCCCAGACCGCAAGAGGTACTGTGGCCTTAAGTGGTGGAAAAGTTGTTTCAGTTCTAGACATGGTGTCTGTCTGAGAAAGGACTTCCAAAAATATAACATGCAGCAAATTTATATATTAAAAAAATCTTAATTTTGAGGTTATTTTCACTTGTACTACTGACCCAACAGTTTTTTTTTCCAAATGTCGGAGTTGCTGCTGCTTCCGGGCTTGGCCCCTGCATTGCTGCTTGCAGCTATATTTTTCATTGTGTCTGTACATCACACAAAGCTGTTTATCACTCATTTTATGGTACTTTTTTTCAATTATTATTATTTGTAAACAGTATTTAATTGCTGAAAGGAACATCTTAAAGGTTTTGGAACAACATCAGAGAGATCATTTTAATAGACCTTCTTGTATGCAGAGCACTGAATGATGTCTGGCCAGCTGGTGTGTATGTGTGACTGAATCTGTTTCCATGATGTGGGTGATTTGGCTTAAAAAAGTTTTGTTTTATTTTTTGTTCATTACAATATCTGTTATTTATTTTGCAGGCTGAAACTGTCTGTATGTTGTGACAGATATTTTCAGTAAAATGGATTCATTATTTCTGAAGGATACATCTTGTATAAGTCTATTTTCACACAAAAAGAAAAGAAAATTAAAGTCAGCATGAAATTTGCTTTTTAACAATTCATCATCGCGAGTTCTCACACACCAAAAACAAATGTCTTCATAATCTCTAATAAAAATCTGTAAATTTACTTCCCCTCTGGAATAGCCTTCCCTGACAGTGAGCTGAATTGAATGCCAATTTTTTCTAAAACCATTTAATTCCCAGTGGGGATTTAATACCCAGTCATGCCTCCTATTTTTCTCATTCTGTTTCACTTGAAAATATGCCACAAGTTGGTCGCAGCTTCCAGTTCACACGGGCTTAATACAAAATGCAAGAATTTTATTTAATTGATAATTAACTGATAACCAATATGTGATGATCCTAAGACATGTATATAGATAAAATTAGTCATCATGAAAATGACATGCATTCCAAGCTGTAAATGTAGACGGAATCCTTCATGCTGAGTCGCAGCGTGTAAATGTGATTTATGTCTTTTTTTTCTCTGAATTTAATGCTCAGTCAGCACTGCAGGGGTCTTCCCTGTGTGAGAGTGAAATATCAAACACCGGCATTATTATTTTTTTCACCTTGTCAGAAGAAACCTTTACTGCAGGTCCATTGATATTCCAGGAGAGCCAGAGAGCATTTGGTCAACTGTTTGGTCCGCTACTGATTTTCAACAATGATTGAGGTTTTAGCTTCCATATCTGGATATTAAGTCAATATAATCTGCAAAGGCCCACACAAACCCGTGCCAGACAATACTTTTCTGACGCTCTTCCATTTTAGTCGTTATTCTTGTTAACACTGTTTGCCGTCCAGAGACCAGATGGAGGGGGTGGCCCCATCCCTATCAGCCAATCACCTTAAAGCATCCCTGCTTAACCAGTCACTGCTGCTGTACCTGTCAGGGATTTATTTAGGAGCAGATCATTATCACTGAAAGCCACAGATTTCTCATTGAGTTACTGCAATCAGAGCCAGTGGACATGAGCTGTAGATTACTGCCTATATGTTAGGCCTGCTCTCAGAGAACAGTTTTTTTGCAATGTATGATTGTGTTGGCCTTTTTTGACCTGTTATTTTTTGATAGAAAGAAAGTCAGAATGCCAACAAATCATGTGAATAACTGTAAGAGTTCTTCTCCCTTTCTTGCTGACAATGTTCGGTCTTTGAAGAGTAAAAGAATGCTCTGATATGAACGTCTGGCTGTATGAAAGTCTGAATTGTTTCGTGTGTTCTTCAGTACACAGAGGAGAAGCTTGGCCAGGCAGAAAAGACTGAGTTAGATGCGCATCTGGAGAACCTGATCGCTCGAGCAGACTGCACCAAAAACTGGACCGAAAAGATCTTCAGACAGACCGAGGTGCTGCTTCAACCCAACCCAAGTAAGAATCTGGACATTTAATGTTTAAGATTTTGGTTCATATGCCTACGCCCCTGTATTACATTTTCTTAAAGAAGATATTTTGTTAGATGGTTTTAAATGTGTGGCCTTAAATCTGTTGGAAAATCTCTCATGTTGTTGACATTTCCCATTAACTTGATGAACATGAACATGTTTGTTGGCTTCTGAATCAGTTTACTTTAATGTATCCATTTGGTTGATTACACCATGTATCTGCAAAAAAAAAAAAAAAAAAAAACCTTTTAATTTGAGAAATCAAATGTCTGCTTAATTCCTGTACAGCCAGCCAGTCAAATTATATAATGCCTGACAACCATCTTAAAACAGCAATGGTTCTCAGGTGTCACCATGTCAGGTGGTTTCCACATCACGTTTTTGAATGCAATGTTTCACAAGGGAGCTGAGATGGACATCAAACTGGCATAGCGCTTAAATCTGAGCAGTTAGCAGTTTATGGTCAGTGTGCTGCAGGTTACTGCAGCGGGGCATTTCCTGTCATAAGTGTACTGGAAGGCACTTTGGATAAAATTGTCTGCTAAATTACTTGTTTCCTAACTACTGTTCAATTTTTTTTTTAATCAATAATTTTATTCAGCAATGTCACATTAAATGTATCAAAGGTGACGGCAAAGACTTCTACATTCTTACCAACAAATTCTGTTTCAAGTAAATACTGTTCTTTTGAACTTCATATTCTTCAAAAGTCACACTTTCCACAAAAATATTAGACCGCACAACTGTTTTTAACATTGATAATAATAAGAATTGTTTCTTGTGCTCCAAATCAGCATATCGGAACGATTTCTTTGGTGAACATAAATGAGCATACATTAAACACCTTACCCACCCCAAAATTGTACATCTCTAAATTTAGTTTTTATGTCGGCAGCAAACAACGGAGTAAACAACAAAAAATATGATAAGGCCAAGGGTTTCAGATGATTTAGAACTCAATTTTGACTTCAGTACCTTGCAGTATTTAAGTTTTTTTTAAAGTAATTGCAAGAGGTTCAGAAGACCTAGTGATTGTGTACTAGTAAGAACACTAACCTGTTCTTTCTAACTTTCTCCATGCTCCAGTTGACCAAACTGGTAAGTCTTGTCTCTACTCCACATGGCCTGTGCTTTAGATGACCAGTTTAATTCCCAATTAATGGGAATTAAACTGGGCATCTAAAGTATAGACCATCCCCCCAATTAATGATGTTTAGTTTTTTAGACACAATGTGTGGATTTCACTCTTCTCACTATGCCTTTGTCATGCTAGTTTGTTTGAAAAAGGAGGATGAATCTTGTGGTTTTATCCAGACACAAGCTCAAGCTTGTTATTCAGTCATCTGAATATCTTAACCAGATCTGGTTATCAAATCTGAATAATAAACTGACTGAATAAAGCACGATGTCCATCTTACTGATGTGAATCTCTGTTTAGGTGCCCGTATTGAAGAGTTCTTCTATGAGAAATTAGACCGAAAGATCCCATCCAGAACCACCAATGCAGAGCTGCTGGGACAGTATATGCAGGATGCTGCAAAGGAATTTGGACCAGGAACTCCATATGGTTCGTACAACCAACCAGAGTAAAATGAATATAATATAATATTAACCATTTCTCTGTTTTTTTTAAATTATCATTTTGCCTGCATTTATGCCAACTGCATACATTTTGGCACAAATTTGTAGTTTTATTGGAATTTTGCTATTTCACCCCCATTTCCTTTAATAAACCTCTTTTACACTAGGAACACAACATAATTACACTCAGGACCTTAAGAACAAAACTGTACCATTGAAACGTATCAATTTTGAATCACAGGGACATTTAACTGTAAAATGATGCAGTCTTTGCTAATAGGCTTTCATTCTGTTGGCAAGGCTTCAGAATTCAAGAAGATGGTGCCATTTGATCAGGTTTAGCCTATAAAGCAAATGCTTGTTTGCATATGCATACAAACAAATGCATATTATAGAGCAAATACAGTACATTGTAGTTAAAGACGCCTATTATAAAGTGTGACGTTAAAAATGATCTGTTTACCTACTAGAAGCTAGTACATATTAATTAAAAAATATGAAAAAATAATATTATAAATATATATATATATATATATATATATATATATATATATATATTTATATATTTGGATGCTGTGCCTCATGCCTGACCTTGCCTACGGCACGATGTGAGTCAGGATCACAGCTGCCCAAGTTCTCATCTATTTTTTTCTTCCTGTTTTCCACTGTTTCGCTTAGGACATGACAAAAAAAATGAAACTATGATTTGTTTGATTTTTGACCAGTGATTGTTATATACTATGCTGCATTTTGAAGTAATCTAGCAATGCAAGTCTCCAAATCAAGTTAATGTTTTGCTGCAAGCTTTGTGTCACTAGATGGCGCACTTGCAGAGGTTGTTGGCAAACAGATTTCCTCAGATGCTTTTAGGTTAGATTTTCTTAGTGGTTGTGTATGTCTCTGTGTATGATTCTGTAACCATTTTATATATAACTAGTTACAGATGTATTTTTTTTTTCTCAATTATTTTTACGAAATCATAAAATTTGTGTAAAAATGTAAAGGGGTGTAAAGATACCCTCATGTCACGATTCGATGCATATCACGATACCATATCGTAATCTTGCATTGTGAGTTCAGTAAGACATGGTTAAAGGTTAGCAAGAAATGTTGTATTTTATGTGGGTGGAAATGAATAGGCTTGGACTTGCTTCTGGCAATCCAATGCACAGGGCATTGGTGACACCACAATAAAAATATTTGTGATTCTGAAGCTGAAAATACAGAATTATTTTAGACTAATATGCTTGCCTTCTATCAGTGACTAGACATAATTAAAATAATGTAGGCCACGTTTTACTGGTTTTATAAGACATTTGGCATCATCAGGCGACCCACAAATATTGTATTTTACATTATATATACTGTTGTTGTTTAGTTTAATGTAGTACTGAAACTAAAACTATGTAAGCTTGATTTTTTTTTTTCTCGCATTTTCATTTTGGGGGAACTCTGGACAGTACAGGTTGCCACTATTCATGATACATATTGTTGCGTTTTTTATTTATTTATTTGCAATATATTGTGACTTGAAATATTGTTACACTCCTAATAATTTAAAATAGTGATGCCTGTTAAATATTTAAATTAATATAATCATGTCACTGCAAGACATGTCCATTTTATAAAAAAAAAAATAATAATAATAATCAGGACCACTACCAAAATAAAAATGAATATAGAAACATGAGGAAACAAAAAATAGTTTAATTTACATTGAAGCAGAATCAGTGGTTCATTAGTGATTTATTGAGTTTATGATTGTGACTGAAGAATATTCATTAAGCTGAATGATGAAGATGCCTACATGCCTAACAGATGAGTCAAAGATTGTTATGTCTACATCTGATAATCTTATCACACCATGTTCAACTCCCAGCGAAATGAGTTAAAAATCAAACCAAAGCAAATAACTCGAAGCAATTCCATCAAATGTTCATGGTTCGTTAAACAAGTTAAACAGCTTGAATATGATTTGACAAGAAAACGTTGAAAATGTAAGTGGAATTGTATGTGATGTTATGTTTTGTGATTGTTTACCAGGCAGTACTTTGATCACTGTTGGAGAGTTCCAGAAGAGGTTAGGTGGAGCAGAGCGGGATTTCTTACATACATCAGCCATCAATTTCCTCACACCTCTGAGGAACTTTCTAGAGGGTGACTGGAAAACTATTTCGGTAAGTGGAATTCATAATCTTGACATCAGATGGCTCACTTCCGTCTAGTGTGTTGGCTAACATATATTGGCTGATAAAATCTGTTAGTTACATTCAGATTTTTCTTTGGACAAGTCTCTGTAGAAAATAGTTCATAGGTAGGCCTACTGCTTTTGAATGATAGAATATCCTTTAATAGACAAAAGTTACAATTGTACAGTACCTTTTAGTACACAACTTCAAATGTAATATTGAATAACACACTTGCTGTAGATGAGGCATATGAGAGGAAGAAACTGCGGTATGCTCATCTGGCCACTGAGGCAGAACAGCGAGGATGAAGAGTCCAGGTTTATCCAGCGGAAGTGGGTTGTCGAGGATTTGTGGCACACTCTACAACCCGGTTCCTCTGAGATGTCAGATTCTGTGACCAAGAGTTTCGTCTAAAGATCTTATCTGAAGCAGCGGAAAGGAGCAGCAACTGGCTGTGGTTGAGACGTAAAGATTCTGGCTGGCTGTATGCGGGCCGTCACGCTACGGCTTCGTAGAATTCTTGAAGAACTAAGAGTCTGTTGGTTTATTTGTATAGTTTGCTTAGTAATTACAGTTATTACATTCCTGTGTATATTGCGTGACAGTCTTAGTCAAACGGGTTGAAATCAAACGTACTTCTTTAAAGACTGACAAAAGATTATTTGATTTAAAATGTACTTTAAAGTAAAACATGTTAACTGTTACCCCTCATTTGAACAGAGGTCTGAACTTAAATGTTTGTAATTCATGAATGCTTTGGAACACAGACCTAAGGTTTGCAGATTTGTACAGAAGTGAAAGCACTTAACATGAAAGTTTAAAATTGTAGATGTTTCATTTTACTCTTAGTAAATGTGCTGAACTAAACATTTCTTATTTAATACAAAATATATATTTGACAAAATAATTGCAAAAGTCATATGTCTAACCAAGTTGTGTTCCAAATTTAATGTTGATATCACAAAAAATGATCCCACTTAAAGGTTTTTTAGTATGCAAAAATTTTGACATTGACAGTAGACAGACTAAATGTGTTAAGAAATAATCATAAAATTGTAATTCCTTTAAGTACACTTAAGTTCCCTTTTATTTTATTAATATTGTCTGCATGGACTGTTTAAAAAAAAGTACTTTTGTGATGCGAAGTACAATACAAATACGCTTTCGATACAGTTAAGCACACGTTCTTTTTCTCAAAAATCTGTATGTTTTGTTTTCAGAAAGAGAGAAGACTGCTTGAGAACCGGCGCCTTGACCTAGATGTTTGCAAAGCTCGACTCAAGAAAGCAAAGTCAGCAGAGGCCAAGGCTGCTGTAAGGTTTATTTACACTTATTCAATCATCATCACATACCTCATGTTTATTTTTATGGCCCTACCACCCACTTATTATCATGAAGCACTTGTGAGCTTTCAATATAGGATTACAATTTCTCAAGGGACAATTCAGAAAGTATGCCATGAATAATCAAGAATATTCATTCTAGCCCACAGCCCAGATCATGAGGTTATCAGTGACGACTATAAGTGCAACGTCTAAACGTGATCGAACAATGTGACCAAACACTGAAAGTTGGATGAAGAAAAAAAAAAACCAGACAGTTAAAGGCACACCGTGTAAAATTTTTCTATCAAAATATCTAAAAAACACTAAAACAATGTTATATATTTTGTTTTGTGTACTTTCATAATCCCAAATGTTTCTAAGAATGTTTAATTCCAGAGAAATAAGCAGTTTTAAGCAGGACACAAACTATGTCCGTGTTATCAATGACATATACCGCGTTAAAGTTTTATTTTGTAGAAACCATGGAAATAAGTCGCTTTACTATATTGTGTTTTATTAGACAGGTGAGCAACTATTTGGATACATTCATGGACCGAAAACAAATCGTTGTTATAAAAATCAACACAGTTCGTCTTTTTGTTTAAATCTGTTTTTCTTTTTTTATATCGCGAGTACCATATTTACCATGCCTAATATCGATCTAGCTCAATGCAGTGTGCAACAAGTGTCTGATATAGTAACCGCGGAGTAGTAACCGCTGAGTGAACGCACAGAGTCGCATTAAAACAACTTAAATATACTCAAATGTATCTAATATGATAAAAAAAGAGTTTCCCCACATATGCATGACCGGAAGAAGGGAAAGCGATCTGCGACATTAAAGCTTCACTGCTCTCAAGGTGTGTGTTGTGCTTGTCTCCCATTAGCAATCGCTCCAGCGGCCTCGTTCCCCTCAACGGCTTTCGTAACGTTAATAAATCTTTATTACATTACTGGTTATCCATGAATATGATTTGAAAGTCAAGTCTGTGAAATCAAGGTGTCATTAAGCTAAGCCTTTGTTTTGAATAGACGAATCCGGCGAAACTACCGGAAGTAAGCGGGGCGCCATTACTGAGCTGTTGCTGGGTCGCTGCTGGGTTGCGCCATTGCCTACTATTGTTTTAGTTGCAACTTGCGTCCACTGGAATAAACAGCCTGCGATTTACGACTGTCACTAACGTTACAACCTTATCCCTTGTATAATGTCGAGTGGGTAAACAGTTTCCGTTATAAATTGTTTCAATGGTGGCAGTAAAATTTCAATTTTGAAGAGAAAACACTGTGAATACCCTGGGTTGACTGCCCCTGTCTGGTGCCGTACGGTTTACACAGATTTCCTGGGCGAGTACAAGACGTGGACATTCACGTATAATAACAATTATTTAATGACATAAGTAAAAAAAATATAATAAATATGTGATATAGTGATCAGCAAAATCTCCTCTCTTGCTATTTTTTCTATTCAATTAATATGCTATGGTCATTAAATGGCTTTCCTGAGCTAAATGTAACGTTATGTGACATAATTGTTTTCCTGCTGTTATATTGACCTCTTTCCATGGTTTAAAAACACTAATTGGTCGATATTATGTATACTTTCTAGCTGTAACGTTACCTTACCCTTGCCTGTTGCAATGTGAAAATGAGATAAATAATGGTAACAAATGAAAAACATGAATTTGTTTATTTGATTTCATTCATTTTATTTATTTATTGTTGCCAAATAGACGGATCTTTTTATAGTTTCCTCGTTAACAAACGTTAGCCTAGCTAGCTTGCCAAGCTATTTTCATGAATAACGTTAATCTGTAAGATCGTTTGTACCTTCATCTGTGACTGGAGGCCACTGCAGTCACAGATCAAACCAACAAGTCATTCTGCCTGGCTGTAGCTGCCATCGAGGGTGAGTTCGCGTTATCACCGAGGTTTGTTTACATACCGGTGCATATGTCTATGCCTGTGTAACAGCTCAGTAATGGCGTCGCCACAAGATGGCAGCCTACACAGAACGCTCGTCGGATTCGTCTATAAACAACCTCTAGTGGCAAAAAAGTACATAGTGTGCCTTTAAACCACTACATGAACTGATTCCTATTAATCTGTTTACATAGTGGAAGCATTTTTGAATTAATGTATGCATACTGTAAATTAGATTTACATGTGTAAATTCACCTTGACTGGAAAATGAAATAATCTTTAAAAAACCGAACTGCTAAATGTGATGCATGAGGTGATAAAATATGAGGTTTGGGTTTTAAAAAACCCACATTTTTAAAGCCAAACAATGATCAATAGCACTTTACAATAATGTCTCATTTGTTAATGCATTGTACAACATGAACTTACAGCATGTTTTAATTTTTGTAAAGGTTAATAAAATGCAGTCGATCTTGTTAGTTCACAGTGTGCACCAACTACTGTCAGATACAGGTAAATTTAGATTTCTAAAATGTACAATATATTAGTAAATGCAAAAAAATAAAATAAATAAATAATAAGATTAATAATACATTAAAAAAATTATAAAAAAAATAAAATAAGGGCTAATTTGTTAACATTAGTTAACTGCATTAACTAACAATTGTTAACTGATGTTAAAAATTAGCCCTTATTGTTACTGTTACTATAGGTAATTTTATTCATTAGGCCCCAAAAAGTGGGCCCTGAGTTCTGTAGTTAGAGTCAACCTGTGGTAAAAGTGGTGCTTCTGGGTTTATTTCTGTTTACCTCATTAAAATGGTAATT